CTGTCCAACGTAGCTGAGCTGAAGTCTTGCTATCCTTGGTTCTTTCTTTTCTTTTCTTCCTTCCTTTCTTCTTTTTGCTCTTTTACTAACCCACCACCCTCGTTTCTAAGGAGCATCCCTGCCAGCCTGCTTCCAAGACACATGTGTTTGTTTCCCTGGCTCCAATCTTGTGTCAACTTTACCGTCCTTGGCCCTTTCAAACCTTGACTAACTGCGGTCTCATCTCATGTGAAGGATGTTTGTTTATTTAGTTGAGTCATTTTATTGGGGCTCATACAATTCTGATCACAATCCATACACAGATGTTTATTTATCTTTTAAAACATGTCTCCCCCTCTAGTTTTCTTTAGCTTCCATTGACCAGGATGAGATCTTAGAAACAATGAAAGGAAATGTTGTTTCCGTTTATTCCTTGGCTAAGTCACTGAAAACAAATGATGAGGAATTTCCCTCAAATGTCTTCTGTAGCCAGGACTGGGGGGTCTAATGTTAGCTCATTTCTTCCAAGGTCTCCAACTTATACTGCCTGGTGCCAGAAACAGGGCAAAAGGCAGGTCAAAATGCCCTTGGGGACTGTTATCTTGTCTTTGGGTCTTGGCCCATGTTGTTCCACTCACCTGGGGCGCTTTTCCTTCCTCTCTTGGCTCACCCCTGTACTTCCTTCATGGCTCTGCTGGACTGTCCCTGCTTCTAGAAGCCTGTCTTTATCCCTTCCAGGCCCAAGGTCCCTCTCTGCGCCTCCATCGCCCCGAGATTCCTCACAATGACACTCTGACCTTGGATTGTGGCAACCTCCTTCCTCACACAAAATGTCAAACTCCTCCGGTCTCATCTTACAGCCACTTAAAATGCCTTTTAACACAGAGTCTGTCACTAAAGAAATGCACATATATGTCCATGTTGGGCCAAATTCAACAAATTGAAAAAGATACAGGACAGACAGACTCCAAAGATTGTGCTTGAGAGGTTGAAGACGGGGCAACACAGAGGTCCCTCCTGTCAGTCCTGGGTCTTTCGGCACCAAGATGAGAGGTTGGAGATGGAGACTCGGAACAGAGATAGACTTTAGCCAGGAATGTGGAGTTGAGAAAGATTTTATTGAGCCAGGGAAAGAACTCCTGGGAGGGAAGAGATAGCAGAGAAGGATGGGGGGCATCTTGAGCCCCAGGGCAGGTTCTGAGACCCAACAAGTTAGGTCAGGGAAATAGCGCCTGGCAGTGAGGCAGTGGGACATATATAGGGCTTGAGCCAAGGACGTATGTGCTGATAAGGGGAAGGAAGCCTTCTTTCTGGTGCTTCAACTGCAGGGACTGAGCTAGGATGTGGTCTGTGAGTACATTGTCCCGGAACGCTGAGGGAAGGGGCTGTACAGACCCGGCCCCGAGAGATAAGCTCCTTGGAATGCTGGAGGCAGGGACTGCACAGTCCCGCTCTGGCCTTGAGAAGCGAGGGGAAGGGGCCGCACAGTCCAGCAGGCTGTCTTTCAGGAGAGCTGGGGGAGGCGGCTGCATGGTCCGCACCTGGCCCAAACATCCCTCAGTTCGTTCTTTCTTTTTGATTTTTTTTCTTTTAAAAATTATTTTATTGGGGCTCGTACAACTCTCATCACCATCCATCCATCCATCCATCCATCCATCCATCCATCCA